CAGAACATCTAAAATGATTAGAATTTCATCATAAATTGCGCTTAAATTTTGGATGAATCTGGAAAAACACGATCGCAGTATTGAGTTTTTATTACAACGAGCTCTACATTCTACCTCCAAATATAAAAGTCGCATCCTATTCATCAATTTTTATGAAGAAAATTCACTTTTGTCATAAAAAAATTTAATCACATTTACGGCTGAAATTAATAAGCTTTGAATATTGAAGGTTCCGCAGATTATAATCTTTTGAAAACGAAGATTATAATCTTTAATCTTCATAATTTGCTGAAGCTTTGTGAATATTAAGGAAAATTTCCTTTGAAAGCTTCTAACGGATTTTAAAATTCAAAACAAGCTTTCAAAAAGGTGTAGAAAATAAGCTCAGCTCAAATGCTTTACCGTCACCTCAAGTCAATCTCTTTGTATGTAAACTATCACGCTGCAAACTTTATGCTTTGAGAAAGAAGAAGATCTATCACAGCTATTTATCATGTCAGCATCACATGTATATGATTCTTGGAATGTTAATTGCTGTTGTTGGTCTTATAGATACGAATTACGTAGAAAGCCAACGAACTTCTACGCCTCTTTTGATAGATTGCAGTACAAATAGAAGAGTTTTACGTTTAAAATTAAAATGAACAGAACGTCTTTTGCATAGATTAAACTTCAATATAACTTACAGTTTTGGGTTTTAATTTATTAATCAATAGGTTTTATCCAATCGAAAATTGTTAATGAACAAATTAATAAGAATGATGAATTAGATTAATATTTCAGACTGCCTTCAAAATCCATTCATTAACGATTCCTGAGTATTGAGGCTAAAAGATAAATGAAATGAAAGACTCTTAACGAATTTAATAAATAACAAGAATGCACAAGGGAATTTTGAACATTTTGTTTTCAATTCTGAATCATTGTGGCATCTTAAATGTTACGAAACTCTTCGTACTTTGGTCTGTACGTACTTTGGTAAGAAGTTTGCAGAGATCCGGTCAATCACATTCAAACTCATACAAATGAAAATTAATTGAGTGGAAATTTCACAAAAAAACAAGCCCAAATGTTTGTATTGAAAAATGAGAGAAAAATAAAATTGAGCAACCAGTGATTTTTTTTTGGAAAATTTTCAAATAATAATTAATCTTCAACGATGCAAAGAAACATGATGACTGAAGCAAAAGGATCAACAATCAAGATCAAGATGCCAGTGAAGAAATGTTAACAAGAGTGCCTCCTCAAAAGTTAAGCTCATCAAAGATTATTTCAAGATGATGTAGTATGCTAAGATGATGAATACTAAGAAGTGACGTGCATAATACCACACCTGGTCTCAACAATTTTAACAGTAAGTCATAAATTATATGGTGCAACTGGGTGGATAAGAGATACATATGAGAGATTATACATATATGTTATTTTGGAATTTTGCTGTGTGAGAACATTTTATTCTTCATTCGATTCTGGGTCTTTTTTCAACTTAACAATTAAAAATATTCACTTCCTTGAATGTTAAACGCGATGCTTTAAATGCTTGCTGTTAGAGTTTAACATCAGTCACATTTTACTTGAATCTTGCACGCATCTTTTGGCGTTTACGCTTCTTAATTTTTCTGATTGTTTGAATTGATCAATAAAATCGAATAGACTAGCCAAGTTCAAGTGAAATTGATGAATATTTTGTATATATGGAAATGAAGTTTTTCCTCAAAGTTGTTGCTAATAATGGATCTAAGATAGACAAAGTCGATCTTAGATATACTCTACCTCGTAGACAAGTGAGTATACTCATGGTACTGTAACATACTCAATAGTATATTCTAAACATACTGGTTCCATATGATTCCATGAGTATACTCATTTGTCTGTTAGGATCTATCTGTTGATTAATGAGACTGTCCCAAGTTGTTTCATATTCATTTATTACTGTTATTAGCACCAACTATTCTATTCTATTCACCTTCTCTTAAATTCTTCTGATGTTCGTTAGCTCTGCCCTCATAACCAGCTTTGTTTTGATTGTAACCTTTAATGCCGATTCTTGCTCATCCTTCACCTGCCAATATTTTCATTGTAATTATTGTCTCCAATATGAGCTTTCGAGTATGAAAATGTGCTTTAAAAAATTATTTCTTATGGTTAAATGGAAAAAAAAAACAAGTAGATTGGAAATTGGATCTGAGCATTAGAACGTGATCATTTTGAACTGACAGTTTTTGATTTAAATTGTCTTGAAATTGACTTGATGTATTTTTAACTAAGCCACTCGTGAGAAGCTTTTGCTGGCTTAAATTTCCATTTAATTTCTTAGAAGTTCCATTTTTCATGATAAAGCATAAAGAGATTTCTGACTTCAATGTAATTATTTTGATCGTCATTTATTAATCTTTTGGATGTGCCTCTAAGATTTATCCAATTACTAAGAGCCAAAAAAAGAAATTAAAATTTATAGTCGTTTAGGACTTCCACGAAAAAAAGGAATTAAGCTAGCTTATGATTTGTTTCAAGACATTGTCTCTTGCTCAGTTTTCTATTTTCATTGCTAAAACATTCTTGCTCAGTGACTTTAAATAGAATTGTTTCTGCAGTTGCTCTTATTACCTTTTCATCTTTGTCCGTAACCAATTCTTTAACCATTTTTTAATCATTTCTTTCGAAAAAATTTCCATTTTATTTAATATTATTAATAGTCTCCTTCCTCTTCTTCTAGATGGACCTCTAGATGCGTTCACTTACTACGTAAGGCAAAAAAAATTCTTCAGTCAAAGACTTTAATTCTAATTCCGCGATTTTAAAATCCTTGATTAATGCGAACTTGAGCTTAATATTTCTGCACCAATCTTCATTTTTTTGCTTCCTTTAAAACTTTGTTCTTTCTTTTGAACATCATTTGCTTCGTTTATTTTTTGACTTTTCTGCAGAGTTAAAGGAAACTTGCACATGCATGTACAATTATTATTTTTTTTTTTTCATATTTCAATAATGATGACATTGTCAAATTATTGTCAAATTATTAAATTGAGCAGAAAAATTTTATCATCTTTAGATTAATCATCGAATTTCAGCAACATTTAGCTCTTTTAATTTTAAAGCATTTTCTGTTATTTCATTTTTTGCAATTTTTCAGACGGAATTTTCTTTGCCAACCTCTGATTCACTAGCTTCGTTATTTGCTTGGTCTTTTTAATGGCTTCCTTGACTAATTCCTCAAATTTTCCAATTTAGATTGATGTATTAAAAGCAGGTGAAAAGCAATTGTAACATAAATTAGGAGATGAGAAAAATAAAGCAAAAGATTTTTGAACAGAAGTTTTCAATTTGAAAGAATCATCTACAACACTCAGGGAATTGAAGAATTGAAGAAAGAAAATTAAGGAACTAGACGTTTTTATGAAAAGATATCTAGAAAAGATAATGATTTTGAAATGAAGAGTCAAAAGATCAAGGAACTGGAGTCCTCAAATCGAAAAACTATAGAAAAAAAACGAAAAGTATCGCTTGAAGATCAATTAGAAACGGCTTGAGTAGTTATATCGATTGACGCCGAAAATAATGCATTGATTCGTGAGAAACTCACTCTTGATGAAGAACTAGAAGAGAAGGTAAATAAAATTAAATGCATTGATGACAAAAATAAGCTGTATGTTAATAATTTCATTAAACAGGTGTTGTATGATGAAGATCATACTTAACATGATTGAATCAAAATTAATAATATATCCAACTTGTTCAGAACAACAAAAATAAAACAACAAATGATATGCAGAAGTTCTGAATAATTTATTTGAAACAAGACGATGCTGAATATTACTCATGGATAGATTATTCAATGTGATATCAGCACTAACGTTGATTTTTGCCGAAAATTGTTGATTCATGAAAGAAATACAGACACTTTCGATGCTGATTTTTCTATATTATTGCTGAGTGGATGAAAGGAACGCTTGTTATCCTCTAGGCAAGAGTGCGAGAGAGTGTGAGTTCATATTTGAATTTTATTCTATTAAAACATTTGAGTAAATGTTTCAGAAATGTAGAAACTTAATTTTGAGTGACTGGAAGTATTTTATGAGGACCGTATATACTTTTCTAGAAATATTCGGTTAGTTTCTTGAAGATCTTGTAGTGATACTGACTGATCATCATTTTTATTATGAAGCCCAGAATTTTAAGCATTTATAGTATTTTGAGAGAGAATTTGTGCATCATTAGCTTTCTGATGACATATATTAACTGCTGATGGCTAAGGAGTTTCTACATTTGTTAAAGAATTACGTTGATCTCCAGGATTGATCGGTGTGCTTCTTTCTTGCTTCCTCGTTTTTGCTACAAGCAAAACCCTACATATTCTAATCCTTCTTGCGAATTCTTTTGATAGTTTTTGTCATTCTGTGGTCTAGAACCTTTAGAAGGCGTTAATGCTTTCTGACATCTTCATTAATAACAAAATATTGAAACATGTTTTAAAGAACAATTTGTGTAGCACCTCAAAAGATTTCTCATCAAGTTGAATGCTGATTTCATTATTATCTCTTTTTTCAGGTTCACTAGTATGACTGATTAGTGGGTTCTTCACTCTGCTGGCTCATATATTTTTTTTTTTTTTTTATTTTTATTTTTATTATATCTTCATCTGCTTTCATTTTCATTTTTAAGGAAAAAGCCTTCTTAATCAGTACTTAAACTGATTAAAAATGCATAAAAAACCTTAAAAATTAACAATTACATAATATTATGAAGAGTTTCAATGTAAAAAATACCTTAAAGAAATCTCTTCGGTCATAAAAATATTTTCCGTTATTTAACGTCATTCTAAAATTTGAATTTGAATTAAATAATTATCAACAACAAAAATCTCAACAAAATAATTTGGTCATCTTAGTATGTTTACATAACAAAAGTGTTTGAGGAAGAAAATAGATAGAAATTCCATTAAAAGTAGTGAATCAGTGCATAATCTCATCCTTATCATCAAAATCAGTTCATCCAGTTCATCATGATGTCATTTCCTGCTGTTCCTTTATATTTTGGGTGGTTAAGATAAGTATAATTGATTGTATACAATCCAAAACATCTCTTCAATTTGTGTCTCATTCGAGCATATTTGATTTTTCTTTTCAGCTTGTTCTAGTGTACTTTTCAAGGTACTCACCACTAAAGCATATTGAAATCAAGTCTTCCTTTTGCAGATGGATCTTCAATGCTCGTACAAATTCATGGATGTGTTTGCACTTTTGAATCTCTTGAGGCAAATCGTTGAAGATTCTGGGCCCAATCGAGTGAATCATCTTATAGCCATATAACGTTCTAGCTACTGATGGTTTCAAATACTCTGCTCGTCTTCCTGTTCTGGATGATACTCGATTGAATTTGATGTTTGTGAAGATTTCACGTTTCATCGTTTTAAAGACGAATCCAGCAATCGCTTTATGGAACAATGCACGAATCGGTAAGTTGCCTTCAACGAGTTTTGTGTACATCTCACATCTATTTGTCTGTCGATCCAGATTGTACACATTCCTCAAAGCTCTATTTTGGATAGTTTGCAGAGGCTTGATTGCGGCGTAACTCGCACTTCCCCATATCATTATCATGTAATTCAAATGTGTCTCAAATAATGATTTGTAGATTTTCTTTTTGATGTCAAGTGGAAGCGTACTCTTCAGTTTCCATAAAATACCTGCTGCATTAGATAATTTAGTCTCAACATTCTGGATGTGTTGTTCCCATTTCAAGCACTCATCAATAATCAATCCTAAGTATTTTACTTTCTCTACTCGTTTAATGATGAGTGATACATTATGTTCGTCAACTCCTTCTGTCTCAATTTTAATTTCCTGAGTATCTTCTACTTTCATTGCTGCTGAGTGCAAAATCATGTAATTGGTCTTTTTCTCATTTATCATCAATTTCTTTGAGCTCAAATACTTAATAATTTTCCTCAAATCATTACAGATTTTATCTTCAACATTTTCCTTCATTTCGTGGACATTCAACAGCACGCAGTCATCAGCAAAGAGGAATATTTTCCCTTTAATTTCAAGTTCTGCAATTGAGTTGAAGAAAAGAAGAAACAGCCAACTTCCTATCACGGATCCTTGGACGACACCTTGAGTGAAGATAATTTCGGAACTAAACTCGCCATTTACTCTCACAACTTGTCGTCTGTTGGATAGATAACTTCTGAATAATTTTAACGCATTTCCTCTAATGCCACAGTTTTCTAAGGTAAGCAGTAATTCATTTATGTCAACAATGTCAAATGCCTTTTGTAGATCCATAAAGACCAATGAAACCTTCGACTTGTTATCTATTTCCTTTTGTATTTCACTGATCATCTCTAAAGCTGCCGTTTCCGTGCTCGATTTCTTCCTGTATCCGAATTGACGTTTATAAATTCTCTTAAGATAATCGTCTGTGAAACTAACAAGTCTCCTGTGGAGTATTTTCTCGACTATTTTATTGAAAGTAGTGAGAACCGAAATTGGTCTGTAATCCTTGACATTTGTTTTGTCGCCAGTTTTATTGATCGGTGTCACTATTGCTAGTTTGAATATTTCTGGATACACAGCAGTCTTAATTATTCTATTCACGAGGTGGACCATACATTTAGCTAATTCGTTTGCTATTGTCTTGACGTGATCAGTTCTTATTTCGTCGATTCCCGGTGATGATTTTGATAACGCCATAATTACATCCATCACTTCAGTCTCTGATGTTTCTTCCAAATGCATTGATTTCGTTTCAGACTTTTCAGCAGCAGGTTGTTTATTTGTCTTTAAGTTCATTTTAAGTTCTGACACGGAATCGATGAAATATTTGTTGAACATCTCTGACATTAGTTTTGGATCATATATGAATTCATTCTCGTTACATTTAAGTGCTGTAATCTCATTGCTTCCTTTACTCCTACCCAGAAAGTCATTTAGATTTTTCCACATCTTCTTTATATCACGACCGTCCAACGCATTGCTTAAGTATTTGATTTTTTCTTCCTTAATTATCTTCTTCAGACTAATAGATGATTGTCTTAGTTTCTCCATGTAAAATACATTTCCAGGCTTTATTCTACACATCGTTGATAAATGATCCTTATGTTTAATAGCCTTTATGATTCTCACATTAAACCATTTACAAACTGTGACATCTTTGTTGCATACAAGTCGACATTTTTTTGTAGACATTTTGATAGCTTCTTTCGTGATTCTAGTCAACTCTTCTGCAATTTCATTTGGATTCGTCATGAGAAATAGATCAGAATGAAAACTCAGCACATCGAAGTGTTCCTTAAATTTTGTCCAGTTGGTCTGCTCTCTCTCAATGACATGTGACGTTTTTGTAGCTTTTAAATTTGATATTTCCGTCAGTACAGCATTATGATCACTTATTCTATTGTGAATTGTATAATTCTTAATGTCCGTCTTGTCCATGAAGTTTATTGATGCGTGATCAATGATTCTTTTGCTTTCGTTTCTTGTCATGATATCATTAGTGATTTTGAAGTCATAACTTTTTAAAAGATTAACATATCTCCTTGAATCAGCATTGTCGGCTTTTGCATCTAAATTGATATCACCAATAATTATTGTTTTAACGTTTTCCTGCAGTTCTGATTGAATATCATTCAAAAATGGCTCAATTGATTGCTGTATTGGATTTCTGTAGTAACATAAAAGCTTGTAGTTCGAGTTATTCACAAAGATTGTTAATTTGATCTTCTCAAACGTTGTTGATGACTTGCTGAAGGTTTTAACGAAGATTCCTTTCCTTATGAAGACTAATAATCCTCCACCACTATTTTTAGCATCTCTACAGCAACTATATTTTTCATATCCATTCAGATGGTAAATGTTTGAGGGAAATTTCGGCTTTAATTTTGTCTCTCCCAGCACAATCACGTCACATTTAAAATTTAATTGCGAAAGCTGAAGCTTTATTCGATCATATTTCCTTTCACAATTTATTCCTCTCGTATTCATCTGCATGATCGTAAAATTTTTGCATGCTATGCTACTATTGTTAAATGAAGCAAACGATTCGAAATAATGATTCTCTGAATTTTTATTCATGCATATAATATTTTTGTTTTTCAATATATTAATTGGTGATTCAGGCTGGGGAGAAGCTGATTGCTATGCTTGTGTTTTATTTGCACTTCTCGATTGACCATTGACATTCCTCTCATTTGGCAACCAGCTCTTTATATCATTCAAGTCTGCTTCGTCTTCGATCCATTTTATTTCCTTATCTGATTTCTTTACGTTGATTCTGTTATTACTCATGTACACCATGAAATTCTTTTCCTTTGCAATTTTCTTCGCCTTTCCAATCAAAAATCTATTTGTTGGTGTCAGTGAATCACCAAAGAAAATTCCATTTTTAATCCTTGACTTCTTTTTTTCCTTCAAGATTCTAATTTTAGTTTCAAAGTTATCGAATTCGACAGTGATGATTTGACTTTGTTGTACTTCATTTGCTGGTTCATGTGCCTTAACATTTTTGATATAAACCGTTTTCATATTTGCAGTTTCCACATTGATATTAAACTTTCCGATTATTTTCTTGACTTCTTCTTTAATTTTCTCTTTATCGTTCATGTAAGGTATTGTTGCTCCACTTATTTCCATTTTTGTCTGCAGTTTCTCTTGAAGAAGTCGATTGACAATTTTGCCTTGCTGGTCTAATTTCTTTTCATTTCTATTCACTGATTCTTCTAAGTTCTTGACTTTTACATTCATTTCCTTCATATCAGTATCCAGCATTGCAAATTTCTCGTCGAGTTTTGTCGTGAGCTCTTCTTTTATTGATGTGCATTCAGATTTAAATTCCGTTGACAATCTAGAACCTAAGTTCATTATGCATTCATAAAGGTCATCTGTTGATCTCTCAATCTTATCTCCTGCTCTTTTCAGATTACTTCTTTTTATGGAAATTTTCGGAGTCAGCAACTCTTCTTGGATATCATCATCATCAATTTGATCCGTAAGCATTGGAATTGGACGTTGAAGTGGCATTTGAATCGGTGGCGGTGTTCTCTGGATACTCATTTTTTTTTCATGAATTCAGCACTATAATTGACCACTTCTTGACTGGCTCGGTTAATTTAGCAGACTCCCACTATTTTAAGCTGAAAAAAGAAGAGAAAAAACGATTAAGGCAGCAACAAATGACCTCTTCAGCTTTTTTCGTCAACGTACCGTGTCAAAACAAGACTGTTAGTGATCAAAGTCTCCTAACAGTCTATAAAAAGTGCCTCGTGGGAGTCTAATTGTTCTATTTTAGTAAAACTGCTAGTTCAGCCGATTTGAGACAGATTCCGTTAAATCACAATTTGAAATTTTGAGATCACGTACTGATGAAGACAAATTCACCACTTGGTCGATTTTCACCACTATTTCTGGCGCGCGTTGCTTTAGTGTTAGTTCTCTTTCTTCAACTTTCTTTACTATTTTACTTAATTAATGTATTATTTTCTGCCTTGTTTATTGACTCTACGCACAGATTTGACAATAATCTAGATGCTGTTTCACTTTTTGCTCTTGTCGGGCTTTAATTATCTTTCAAAATTCTGTATTAGTTTCTTCTTTTGTTCTGTTCTTTTGTCTCTTAGATTTTAACTTTTAATTAACTTATTAAGCTTGAAATATGATGAACTCGATATTTTCCTGTTAACACTTATCGTAACAAATGACGGAGTTTTCTTCTAATGTGCTTTTATTCACTCTTAGTATTTTTAATTAACAATTATTCTCAACGATATAAATTCACTCAAACACCTGAATGTAGTTTTTTTGGATCAAGCAAATAAAAGAAGCATCTATGAGCTTTTAAATAGCAGCAGTATCATGAAATTTTAAAAATGTTGGGAGAATGAGAAAATATTGAAACCATCAACTAAAACAACCTCGGCTGGACAACTTGTTTGATAAGGAGGAATGGAACGCGCAAAAATAATAGCGAAACTGCTCAATAGACAGAGAAGATGATTGTTTTTTTTTAATTTTGTACTTTGATCAGTTTAATTAATTTCTTTCTTACTTTCTTTCTTTCTCTCTTTTTTTCTTTCTTTCTTTTTTTTAACATTTAGCCTATTTCACATCATATCGGTGCTGCAAAACAAAAAAAAAGTGTATGCAGTCTTTAAGATTACGTTTGGAATTTATTGAATGATTGCTCAACACGATGGTTTTCAATATGACATTAACGATCACATTCAGACATCTAACAAGAATAAGTTCAAATCAAGGAGAATCAAAAATCAATGAATAAATAAGACAGCATTGAAAATGAGGATGAAGACAGAGAAAAGATGAAACCAATGACAAAAAGCTACAAATAGAGCGGAATCAGCGACAACTTTCAACAGCCAGAGAAGATCTTTCACAGGATATTTCTTTAACTCTCCTTGTCTTTATAAAATTTATTTTTAATTTTCTTTTTTTTTCTTTTACAGGATTTTATCTTAATTTTCTTTGTTTCTTCCTTCTTTTTTATTTCTTTCTTCTTTCTTTTCTCTTTTCTTTTGAATTTTAGCCTGCGGCGGGAAATTTTTTCAAGTTCATCTTATCAACAGTCAAGCCAGTAATCTTCTTCTTCAGTTTGTTTTCCAAAAAGCACGATCATAAAATATGGAAACGACAAATCATCTTTTATCACAACGAGCTTTTACATTCCCCCACCAAATGTACAAGAAGCGTTTTCTACATGATCTTTTATGATTAAAATTACGAAGAACAGAATTATGAAGAAAAACACAACGGGAAATCTATAAAGAAAGACTGCCAAAAAAATTCGTGAGCAACAGTCAATGGAACAACTTCGCACGAATAATGAAGACAGTTAAGAAGATGAGGATGAAGACAATTATCTATATAGAAAACGGATTCAGCGATCACTTATCAACTGACAGAGAACAAGATTTAATTGTAAGAAGAATCGAAGAAAAACCTTCGGGGGTATGAAAAAAGGCAGCTTTAAATAAAAGAGTGAAGACTAAGAAGAATCCATATGTAAATGAAGAACCAGATAAGAACAAAACAAGAAAAACTCAAATTGCAGGAGAAACTGTAGAGGTATGTGAGAACCAAATTCAGCATTTTCTTGATGATGTCATAAGACAACAGACAATCATTTCACAATATTTACAAATTCTACATTTCTGTGCATTAACTTAAGATTTTTCTGACTCTACAGAAGCTTTTGGAGCATCATCAATAAGGAAATTTTTAAGTTCTGCACCGCCATATTCACCAGGAATCATAACCGAAACAGCATTTGAGACAACAAATAGTAAGTAGATTTCGTTTTCAAATTTATACAATCTTTTTTTTTATTTCATTTTCAGGTTATTTACATGTTTAAAATTAGGAATTGCCCCACCGTCCTGCCCAAAATTTTTTTCGGTACCTGAAATGCATACATTTTGGAGGAAAAAAAGCAGCAAAATGTTTCTGGTCTTAATTAAGTGATAAAACAACACGAGCCAAATGGATGAAGCCATATTGTTAAGTGCATGGAGAAGAGGCTTAATTGAATCCAATTTTATGACGGGAACAAAATGAGCAGCTGGAAATCAAGCTATCGATTGAGTCAAATTTGCCCAAATCTTAACAAAGATCCTTTATTTTATTAATTTTATTTCATTTTCAGGTTATTTACATGTTTAAAATTAGGAATTGCCCCACCGTCCTGCCCAAATTTTTTTTCGGCACCTGAAATGCTTACATTTTGGAGGAAAAAAAGCAGCAAAATGTTTCTGGTCTCAATTAAGCGATAAAACAACACGAGCCAAACAGATGAAGCCATACTGTTAAGTGGATGAAGAAGAGACTGAATTGAATCCAATTTTATGACCTGAACAAAATGAGCAGCTGAAAATAAGCTATGGATTGAGTCATATTTGCCCAAATCTTAACAAAGATTCATCAGATGTCATTCAAACACATGAGCACAATTTTGGAAGTTATTGATAAGGGAATTCTCACGCCGTATGACAAAGGAACCATTAAGCAAGACAATCGCCAGCTTCAATTTCTGCATCGCCACACTTACCAGAAATCTTAGCCGAATCAGCATTTACGACAACAAAAAGTAAGTAGAATTCATTATAAAATTAAAACAATCTTTTTTTTATTTCATTTTCAGGTTATTTACATGTTTAAAATTAGGAATTGCCCCACCGTCCTGCCCAAAATTTTTTTCGGCACCTGAAATGCTTACATTTTCGAGGAAAAAATGCAGTAAAATGTTTCTGGTCTTAATTAAGCGATAAAACAACACGAGCCAAATAGATGAAGCCATATTGTTAAGTGCATGGAGAAGAGGCTTAATTGAATCCAATTTTATGACCTGATAAAAATGAGCAGCTGGAAATAAGCTATCGATTGAGTCATATTTGCCCAAATCTTAACAAAGATCCATCAGATGTCATTCAAACACATGAACACAACTTTGGAAGTTATTGATAAGGGAATTCTCAAGCCGTATGACAAAGGAACCATTAAGCAAGACGAATCGCCAGCTTCAATTTCTGCATCACCACACTCACCAGAAATCTTAGCCGAATCAGCATTTACGACAACAAAAAGTAAGTAGAATTCATTATAAAATTTACATAATCTTTTTTTTATTTCATTTTCAGGTTATTTACATGTTTAAAATTAGGAATTGCCCCACCGTCCTGCCCAAAATTTTTTTCGGCACCTGAAATGCTTACATTTTGGAAGAAAAAAAGCAGCAAAATGTTTCTGGTTTTAATTAAACGATAAATTAACACGAGCCAAACAGATGAAGCCATACTGTTAGGTGGATGAAGAAGAGACTGAATTGAATCCAATTTTATGACCTGAACAAAATGAGCAGCTGGAAATAAGCTATGGATTGAGTCATATTTGCCCAAATCTTAACAAAGATCGATCAGATGTCATTGAAACACATGAACACAACTTTGGAAGTTATTGATAAGGGAATTCTCACGCCGTATGACAAGGGAGCCATTAAGCAATACGAATCGCTAGCTTCAATTTCTGCATCGCCACACTCACCAGAAATCCTAGCCGAATCAGCATTTACTACAACAAAAAGTAAGTAGAATTCCTGATACGAACAATTCAAGAGTTTCGACCGTTACAGTTTCCAAGAACACTTAAAAAAATGTCTTATTTGTCTGTCTGCCATGCAAAATTCGAAGTTTCATACCCTGCAGTTCGAAATTTTCGAAAATTAGGAAATATTAAAAACTTAAATTAAGCAATTTTTTCATGAATTTTAGATGAAAATATTATTTTATCATTTGATAATAAGCATAATATAGCTAAATTTGTTTTCAAAACTATCAAAAACTTGAATAAAATGACCAACAATTGTAACGGTTTTTCAAATTTAAATTTTTCGAACGTGCATATTAAAACACCCCTAGACTTTCGATAAGTCTGTCGAACATGAATTGAACGTATCAGTAGAATTCATTATAAAATTTACACAATCTTTTTTTTTTATTTCATTTTCAGGTTATTTACATGTTTAAAATTAGGAATTGCCCCACCGTCCTGCCCAAAATTTTTTTCGGCACCTGAAATGCTTACATTTTGGAAGAAAAAAAGCAGCAAAATGTTTCTGGTTTTAATTAAACGATAAATTAACACGAGCCAAACAGATGAAGCCATACTGTTAGGTGGATGAAGAAGAGACTGAATTGAATCCAATTTTATGACCTGAACAAAATGAGCAGCTGGAAATAAGTTATGGATTGAGTCATATTTACCCAAATCTTAACAAAGATCCATCAGATGTCATTCAAACACATAAGCACAACTTTGGAAGTTATTGATAAGGGAATTCTCACGCCGTATGACAAGGGAGCCATTAAGCAAGACGAATCGCTAGCTTCAATTTCTGCATCGCCACACTCACCAGAAATCTTAGCCGAATCAGCATTTACTACAACAAAAAGTAAGTAGAATTCATTATAAAATTTACACAATCTTTTTTTTTTATTTCATTTTCAGGTTATTTACATGTTTAAAATTAGGAATTGCCCCACCGTCCT